TCACAAATTTGGGCCGATGCCTCAGCAGCCTTTGCCTCTCCCCATCACACAAAGCTAACCCCAGCTGTGGGTCTCTTCTGTGAGAAAGCCCCTATCGCTCCCTGGCAATGCCAGGATGCAGAACCACCTTCCCCCTCCCTTAGCTTCAGAGCCAAGGTATGCTCGTAAGAAAACAAAGACCAAGGGTGGCCAAAACCAGAGGAGAGCAGACCGCTTCACTGCCATGGAAGACAGGACATCGGAACTGCTAAGAGCAATTCCCAGGCTTGTTTTTAGAGGGAACCATACCCAAGCTCCTGTTTCTGCCCCTACATACCTCCTCCTCCCCTCAGGCTTTAGTTCAGAGTGCTGCTACACTGCCCAGCGAATTAATCCGCTCAGATACTGCTCGACAGACGTAGCTGTGCCTCAGGCAGCCAGCAACTGCACACCTCTAAGCGAGGCAAGCGTTCCTGTGCAAGCGCAGCCTACAAACGCCTCTGTACCTTTCACCTCTTCGGTGCCAAAGAGTCAACAACAATTTTGTTTGTTACTGCTCTGCTAAACGTAAGAGGCATTGATGCGCAGTTATAGCCAAGAACCAGATGCACAAGTCAGCAAATACAAATGTGTGCTCTTCCAGCAGCTGTGGCGCAGGCTCCCCGCAATGCATCTACCACCTCTTAGAGGTGAACGGGGTCAGCATTCCCCAGGACACTGGCAGAGACGTTCCCAAAGCCTCCAGCCTGCCAGCAGGCAGGCTATTTATACCCAGAGGACAATGCTCCTTCCCATAAGACGTCCGTGACAACCTGACAGCGCTGGCGTAGAGAGGCTTGCTTTGCCGCCCAAGGAAGGTGGCTGCAATGAAGCAGGCTAACGCAGGACAGACAGCGCACAAGCAACTGCTTCGTAAAATCAATCCCTCGCTCTTCCCCGTACCGTTGTATTTCTTTCTTCTGCTCCTACCTGGCAAACAACGTGGCTGCTGGGAGAAGGGGAGAAGGAAGGGAATAGCTGGGGAGAACAATAACGTCACCCCTGCAGCACCGCTCTGTGCAGAGGGGCGAGTGTAAGGAGCCAAGGGCAGATAGGGTCAGGGGGACCACGGAAATTTGTTTGCCTTGTGGCGCTAAAGAATTTCCAGCCGCCTGGCAAGCACTCAAGCATCCTTCATTACAGTGAAGCTGAAATAAAACGTACAAGGCAACAAACATGCTGCTTCAGTCAAGGTGCTGGGAAGAGAGCTCCATGGGGGAGGCTCGCACAGGCAAAGTCCCCCTTCCCACGGGATCAAAATGAGACGTGGCAACGCACAAGTCAGGCAACAGAATGGGAAGGACAACCCGGAGACTGGCTGTTGGCTATTTTTTGGGTCCTGTTTGAAGTATCAGAGATGGGGCTCTTTGGCAGCTCACAGAGAGGACACCCAGAGATCTGGCACCAAGACAGAGACCGAACTTGGCCCAACTCTCCAGACTGCTGATTGCTCAGCTTTTGATAGCTTCCTGAAGAACGATCACACTGAAAAGCGCCAAACGCGATGACTGCAATGAAGAAAATGCAGCCTCAACACATTTCCCCAGAGCTCAAAAGGCCTGAACTCAGCACAAGCATAGCCAATTCTCTCCTCAGCTCAAAGGCAGCACAAGGGAGCTGACAGCACCACGCATGATTCAACGCAGGCCCCATTCTCCACATTCCTGATTGCAGAACCCTGCCACGAGCCCCGTGTAAACATGGTGACGTCACCCATTCCAGCACAGGCTGGCCTGGAGACCAAGACGGGCGCCGGGAGGGAGGGAGGGAGGGAGGGAGACCCATCTGTAGGGACAGGGAGGCAGAGGAAGGGACGGGCGCCGGGAGGGAGGGAGGGAGGGAGGGAGGGAGACCCATCTGTAGGGACAGGGAGGCAGAGGAAGGGGCTGTGCTCTGCAGCACTGGGTGGGCGGAGGAGCACGGTTTGCTGGCAGCAGTCGGGCACACCGCACGGGCACAAACTCTCCCGGTGTGGGTTTCATACTCTGTTTATTTGCTTTCTTGCTAATTAGCTCATACAGCCCTCCCAGGAACCCAAACAAGCCAGACGACTCCCCCAATTACAATGAAGTCAGTGCCTTTCCTGTGCCCCCCCACCCCACTTCGGAGTCCCTGGCGAGCTCACATCCAACCCAGGACACTCGGACAGCAGTTCTTCCCCCAAGGAATATGCCCACCCAGACGGCTTTAACTGTGCTTACACAGATACAGGACAGAGCTGGCTCTCAGAGGCCCCTTCCAGCCTCCCGTAGCGCCTCCCTCTAGCCATGCAGCTCAAAGCTCTCATGTTCTGGGCAGACACAGCCCCAGTTCTGAACAGCAAGCCCCTCCTGTGTGTGTGCACACACAGACAGACGCTCCGTGGCAGCCAGGCATTGCAGCCTGCCCCACGGTCACGCGGGAGGTAGTCGTCT